GAATATAGAGCTTCGCCGCACTCCGCAAGATCGTGGCCATCTACCAACAACTTTTAACTAACTTTTCAAACTTGAGAAAATTTCGTGCACTGTTAGGATTCTCTCTTCCAATCGACTGTTACGTTAGTGTCTCGCGCACTCTTAGGAATCTAACTGAATGGATTGTTACGCGTTGGTATCTCGAGCAGTTTCAGGATTTTCTGTCAACGGATTGCTACACTAGTATCTCTCGCACTTTTAAAAATCTCATTTAATCCATTGTTACGTCAGTATATCGCGCATTCTAGGGACTCCCTCTTATTTCATTGTTACGTCTGTGTCTCGTGCATTGCGTATAGGCCATTTTATAGATATGAAAGCGTGCCTTGAACTCTAAAGGACATGGTGCATAGAAGCACCAATTCACACTTTGGAAAAGTGTTTTCTTGCATTTAGAAAGTACCAATTGCTCGAGGACCATTTCCCAACTCATTTCAGCGTTTCATGATAAAGGATGTTTGCTTTGTTGCGAAAAGCCAATGTGTGTCAAGAGTCCGCATGAAAAACCATAAGTTGTCAAGAAAAGATGAGGCAACCGTAGTTTATAAAATAACTTAAAAAATACTACGAGCACTCCGATTGGTCAAAACCCATTAGTTTACAGCACTAGTAAACCCAAGTAGCTTTTTACGCCGTTAAACCGATAGAAAGTGCTTTTTCGCTTTAGTAATTCGAACCTTTGTCGCTGTAAAGATGAATGATGTCACTATCTGACCCATTGAGAATCGCGACCCGAAAGTCTCCACTTCAAAAAGACACCACAGAGACTTTGAGTTTCCAATAGAATAGTTTATTCTGCTTTTTACCTATGAAGTTCAACTCATAAGTTAATAAATACTTTTTTCTCTCAAAGTATATATTTTGTCTTCATTATTTCTCATCTTCTCTTTCTATGATTATGTACACCCACGTTATAGCTGGGAGTTTGCATAAAAATCTCACCAGTTTGCTTATTGGAAGTTCATGTTAAATGTTGAAAATCGGATGAGGCGCGTGGAAAAATAAATACTGTTTGTGCAGGAGTTATAAATAGTCGCTTCATTCATACTTTAAAGCAAAAGATTTGCCGTGTTTAGATAAGTAAAATATATATATTTTTCTTTCAAACAGGACTCCCCTCTTGGCGGAATGTCTTAAAACCCTCCCATAATAGCTGGTTTCCCTGTGAGGTTACTGTATAGCAC